ATCTGGACTTGCTGATTTAAAAATGTCTAGTCCTTCCAGAAGATCCCTAACTACATCTGCACTAACTGAAGGCCTGACAGAGCTATCCCCGAGATTGTCTCCACCTCTGGTAGATGGGATGTCCCGGTCCCTGTTCAAGAAAACAGAGGCAAAGAAACTGTTAAAAATATCAGCTTTCTTGTCTGGCGTAGCCACAAGATTACAGTTTGCGTCTTGCAGGGGCCCTACATTGCCTGGTGCCCTCTTCTTGCTCCCAATGTACTTGAAAAAGGACATTTTGTTGTCCTTAATCCTGGACACTAGCCTGAGCTCCATCTCTGCCTTGGCCTTCCTAATAGCCCTCCTACACTCACGGGCTGAGGAGGAGTACTCCTCCTTGGTGATAGCTCCTCAGCTGTAACTGATGATAGGGTCCTGGGTCGGGACTGCTCTGTCTGCAGCCCCAAGGCTCCCCCGTCCCCTCCTCCCTGCCTCATCCACGGCCCTGGCACTTCGGGGCTGTTACTCGAGCTGCTCCAGATCTTGGCCCAGACTTCGAAGATGCGGCTGGAGAGAGAGGAGCAAATCCCAGGGGCCAACTCAGGAATTCACAGCACTCCGCGAAGACAAACTAGGAAGGGCCCAAGCCCCTGGCCCTGACTGAAGGGGTGGGGAGGGGGAGGAGGAGGGGAGAAAGCAGCTGGCAGGCTGCCTTGCCCATGACCCACCAGTGTGGGACCTGCCCCCAGCCAGGGTCCGTGGCCTGGCCCCAGCTGGAGCAGGGGCACAGGGCTGGCAGTGGGTGTCCCAGCTCTGGCTTGCCCCAGCTCAGCTGTTTGTCTGTCCAGCGAAATGCACCAACACCTTAAATAACCGCTTGGTGTTTGGGCGAGCCCCCCTGGCACAACACCCCCATGGGGACTAGGCACATAGCCATGTTTATTCAAAGCCAAGCTCATTCCATTCCTGACACTGATAGCTGACAGCTGGCGCGTGGCACATGACCGCCATCCCAGCCATCCACCCACATGCCCCAGGGTGCAGGAGACCCTGCCCGGCTTGTGCCCATGGAAGGGGCAGCAGGTGTCCTGCCCTGTTTGAAGGGGGCCAGGGATCAGAGTGCCCTCCCCCACCCCCAACCAAGCTGCTGTGCATGAGGCAGTGGGGTGTGAGGACAGGGACACCCTGGGAAGGTGGGTGTGAGCCCTGGGGCTGGCTGCTCCCTGCCCTGCAGTGCAGAGCCTGGTGCCTGGACAGCCTTGAGACGTCAGCCTCACCCAGACCCCAGCCCAGTGAGGGCCACGGCCCACCTGCCTGGTTGCTTGGGCCCAGCCGGAGCTAAGGAGACACAGCTCAGTGCGTGGGGGGGAAACGCTTTATTGCAGCAACAGATTCCAGGGCAGAGGCCAGGGGGGTAGAAGCAGGTGCGTCTCGGGGAGGCGGGTGCCGAGGGGCCCTGGCGCTGTAAGAATATGTTTGATATTTAGTTGGCTTTCCAATAAAACAACCTAATATCAAACATATCAGACAGAGGCAGGTGGGCAGGCAGGTGGCAGCACGGACACCCTGCAAGAGAAGAGAGAAGGAGGGAGTGAGGGACCAGGGAGACATGCCAGTCCCTGCCACAGCCCCAGTCCCTGCCCAGGGCTCCTGCCAGGTGCCAGTGCAGAACGGGCAGGGGAAGGAAAGGCTGTATCCACCCCCTCTGCTGCCCCTGGCCTGGCTGACAGCCCTCTTCCCCTGCCCCCTCTCTACCCTGCACCTTCTCCAGCCCCAAACAGCCCAGCTCACCTGCCCCGAAACACACACACCCTGCTGAGCTCCAAGTCCATGCAGCATGCAGGTGCATGATGACAGGCAGACCTGGAGCCTGTATCAGAGCTGGGGACTGAGAGCCCCACAACCAGTTTGGGTTCGGTGAGCCCCTAGGTACCAGGAAGGTGCCTGTACCCTGTGGCACCTAGTCCTGGGGGCTTGGCCACTCCCTGGTGCAGCCCCTGGGAGCCTGGACCTTACCCCTGCTGCTGCCAGAGCCTGGCGTGGATCCCATGGGAAGGCAGGGCCACCCCAGCATGGGCTGAGCCTCTCCAAGCCCTGCTCTGTTCAGCAGGCCAGAGGCAGCAGGCAGGCGGCTGGGCGCTCCCACGCGGTCCTGCCTGGGTCGCACGCAGCGCTGGTTTATAAAGGCACTGGCTGTGCCCGGCAGGGGGGCTCGGCCCCACACACGTGTCCTCGTTCCCATTATCCCCCTGTGCCCTTGGAGCCCGATCAGCCCTAATCAATGTGGTCGATCGGGCCGCGTGGCTGCCTGCTGCCCCCAGGCACAGGCCTTGCTCTGGTGTTCAGCTGTGGATACTGTGAACAACGGCTGTTAGATGGCCCCTGCCCCTTGCTGCAGCACTGGGGAGCACTGAGGGCCCCAGGGCCAGGAGCAAGAGTGGGGGGTGGGGGGTGGGAGGGCTGAACCCTGCATGTAGCTAGAATGGGGCTGTGTCCCATGGGCCTGAGCAGGGAGGGCGGCCCCCTGCCCTGCTCCATCCCCAGAACCCGCAGCAGCACCAACCCCCTTTCCTGGCACCTGGGGGCCCAAGCAGCCCCTGCCCTGCATGACCTGCCCCAGGGACAGTCTCTACACAGTGCTGGGCACAAGTCAGGGCAGAATTGGGCCCGCAGCATTGGCGTGGGCCCCTGAGTCAGTTCCTCCCCAGTGTCCCGCTCCCCAGTGTCCCTGCCCTGCCCTGAGTCAATTCCTCCCCAGTGTCCCGTTCTCCGATGGCCCTGCCCTGTCCTGCCCTGCCCTGCTGGAAGCAGCTGGTGCAGATAATGATCATAATGAGCAGTGATTGAGGAGGGGCAGCCCTGCCTGCCCACTGGCTTGGTGCTCTGGGCAGGCGTGTACCCCAGTTTTCTGCTTGTCTGTGCTCTAGTGTGGGTTGAGCAAGCCCTGGATAACCAGCTGTGCTCCACCCCAGAGCCAGCTTCACCATAGGAGCAGACCTCAGGTGTCTCTAGCATTCACATGGGCTGGGTCTGTCTGGTGCACTGCTGGCAATAATCCAGGTGTGGGGCTGGCTGGGCAGAGGCATCGCAGCTCAGAGTCCAAGGGAGCTGAGTGGGGGGGTGTCCCCTAGGCCTGCCCCTCCAGGGCGCTCCCTGCATTTCATGGGGTCTCGGACCCCCTTCCCCTACCCCCACCTGGCCATTACCCCTCCCCTGCCCAGCTCATTGATTCCTCTGCCCTAATGATGGAGTTTTCCCTGCAGCAGGACATGCTCGGTCTCTTGCTGACCTTGGGAACAGGACAGATGGCCCAGGGCGGAGCCAGCGCTAATGGAGCTGCAGAGCAGCCCCCAACTACTCCCCCCTCAGTTCACAGCTCTGTGGGGTGCCCATGTCCCCCCTCTGCTGCAGCATGGAGCTCGGCTGGGCATGGCTGGGCCTTGCCTTTCCCCCCCGCTATATCTGGGGGGGGGCCCTCAGTGCCAGCCATCAGACCCTCTGGATGCACGTGCCAGGGTAGGTGCAGGACAAAAAACACTGTGATGGGCATAGTTACAAGTATCTGCCCCCCAAGTAGGAGCACACAGCTCCCTGTGCCCCAGGCCTGTGCAGAGCTGCTGGGCTGTGCCTGGCTGCAGAGAGGCAAGAGATGAGGGTAGCAAGGGCAGGTGCAGTGTGCGGTGGGTCTGAGGCAGCTTGGTGCCCTGGACCCGGGAGTGTGCAGCCAGCAGCTGACGTGATGTGAGCAGACAAGCTCTGTAATGAAGGGCCATGGTGGAGGGGGCCAGCCCCATCCTGTCAATAACTGGAGCCAGGCTGCACTGATGGCCCCTCGGGCAGGGAGGCTCCAAGGTTAGGTGGAAGGAACAGGGGAGGTGGGCAGCAATGGGGCTGGGGGGGAGGGTAGGTCCCCAAACTCCAGTCTGTGAGTGCAGGAAACCAAGAAGCTCCTTCTCCCCTGGGAAAGCCCTGCCCTCTGCCCTGCCTTCCCTCTATCCCCAGCAGAGCAGCAGCTGGGGCAGAATTGGGCCTGGCTGGAAGTTGCCCCTGTACCCTGACCCTAGCTGCCACCCATACACCCGGCTGAGGAAAACTGGTCACAGAGCAAGGGCCTTGCTGTCTGTAAGGGCCCAGCAGGGCAGGGGGAAGCCAGGCTGGGGCTGCAGGCGGGGAGTGAGCACTCAAGGGCACTGGCACCAGGGAGCATGGGTGGCTTGTGCCCATTGGCATCTGCCCTTTGGGCTGAGCAGCTGCGCTCCCACGAGGACCAGCCTGCTTCAGGGGCTCCTGGAATGGAGACGCACCCCCATTATGGAGCATGTGAGCAGGTGCGGTGGCTGCGCAGGCGGTGGCGCCAGGCAGGCCCACATATGGTCTGGGACACAGTTGTGTTTTGCACATGTGTGTGTTGCAGAGAGTCATGTTGTGAGGGGGTTGAGGGTGGACAAGGCAAGTGTGCAGTACATTGCGGTGCCCAGTTCAGGGCACCCCTACCTGTCCTGCCTGGCATCTCCATTGTGGTCAGTGCCCCCAAGCTCCAGGGACATGCAGGGCCGTGGCATTGGGGGCAGGTCTGGAGCGGGACCAGGCTGGGCACCGGGACAGGCCGGGCTTCTCCACAGTGCCAGGCAGTGCAGAGCAGGCGTGTGCTGGGTCAGAGGCTGTGCGTGCCAGGGTCCATGCCCCTGCCATGTCAGCATGTGCAGGAGGGAAGGCAGGTTTGCATGTGTTGGGCACATGTGGATATGTGTACGTCTGTGTGCAAACCTGCCCGTGCCCTCCAGGAACTCCTGCTCAGGTCTTCTCTACCAACCACTGATGCTCTTTTGGGTGGCTCAGGCCAGCTGGGGATGACAGATGGGATTCTCCCATCAGCAATCGGGGACCAGAGAGCTCAGCCCCAGCTCAGTCCGGTTTGAGGCAGGGATCAGGAAGCCCTGGAGCAGCAGCTCTGAATCAAGTGCTGTGGGGATCTGCTAGGGGCAGGTTCAGACCCTGGGAGCAAAGCGACATAGGCCACAGAACTGAGAAGCCTCCTGGCCCTGATTTAATGGTAATTAGCTGACACATTCATGACAAGACAGAGGAGTGACAGGATCTCTATGAGCATCCGACTGTGCATTGTCCATAGCTGCTCCTGGTTCATAGAGCATGGCTTGGCTCTGATGAGCGAGGGGGAAGTGCTGGGATGTGATGAAGGCTGTGGATCTGGAGACAGTGTGTGTGGAGGGGTGGAAATGGACACCCCCACACCTGTGAATGCAGTGCCTGAGCCCTTGGGCAGCTTGCCTTGCCACTGCTGTCACTCTGCGCCCCTCTGATCCCTGCTGTGACAGGGCCCCCAGGAAGGCCCCTCCTGCTGCTTGCCCCAGTATAACTCCACGCACGCAGCTGGCACTGGGAGGGGGTTTCTTGGGTGCTCAGAGCCGCTCCATGTAGAAAGCCCAGCCGAGCCGTGCCAGCTCCTGTTGATGCTGCAGCCTTTCTTGCTGGAGCAGGGAGCACAGGGCTGCGCGCCGCACCTGGCAGGAGAGCACCGCAGCACCAGGATCAGAGCCCCTTCTTGAGAGCCAGGCTGGAGCCTGGGCCCCTGGATCAGGACCTCACCAGCCCTGGCCTGGGCCTCACTGCCCTTACCAGCATGAGCTCCTTGCTGGCAAGGCGCAGCTCCTCTGCAAGGCCACGGCGGAGCTGCCGCCAGCCTGCGACCAGGGACCGCTGCTCCTGCTGTACCCACTGCAGTGCCTGCTGCCGCTCCTGCTCCCACCTGCCAGCCAGAGTGAAGGCACTGGGTGGGGGCACCTGGCTGGGCATCAGGGAGGGCCCCTGGGGCCCAGGCAAAGCTGAGGGGTGATGAAGCAGCCTGTGGAATATCTCTTTTACCTGCTGGTGTGAGCAGCTGCCCAACCCCAGCAGGGCCAGGCCTTGGCTGAAGGGAGAATGGGGAACAAGCCCCAGGGAGGGGGGCACCCAACCCTCTGGGCCTGCCCTGCACAGGGCCCTGGGCAAGGCCCTGGGCTAGGCTGGGCTGAGCTAATCCCAGTGGTGTGAGCCTGGGACTATTCTGATATCCTCATGGTCGCAGTTCACACCGCAGGAACTGAGGGCCGTCGCCAGTGGGCAGCCGATGGTAAAAAAAGTCCTCTGGACCCCCTCGCGGGAGCCCAGAAACAATTCAGATGTTGCCGCCCCCGGCGGGGGGTGGGTCCAGCCTGGCCGTTGCCGCGGCTGCTGCCATTGTGGTGGGCGACTGGTGCTGTGACGACATCAACCAAAACACGTGGACGGGAGGTCTTCCTGGTGTTTGCGCACGGTGGTCTTCGTGCAGTTAAAAGGCTAAAAGCTTAAAAGGTTAAAAGCCTAAAACCTCAAGGGGGGCCACCACTGGGTAGGATGACCAGCACCTTAAAAACACCAATACGTTATGGGGGACAACTAAGGAGAAAACAGGGCGTGTTCGTGCAGGGTCACAGGGTCAAAACGAGCGCTCCCCCAGGGGACACTGAGCAGAGCACCTCAGACAGCGCCCACTGGCTTGTGAACTTGGAGAGCTTGCCAGCAGCTACTGCCCAGTGGTACTCCGCCTGGAGACCCGTGCAAAGGACACCGAGGAAACACGCCCCGAGGTTGCTGGGAGCCTTCCCGGCCAGAGCCTCCTTCCTGGATAGCCAGATGACAAGCTTGGCCAGAGCCAGGAGGTTGACCAGGAGGTCCCAGGCCTTGGTGGGGCAACGGATGGGGTGCGCATAAACTAAAAGGTGAGGGGAGTAGCACAGCCAGAACTTGAGGAGCAAGTTCTGGAGGAGGAGGTGCAGGGGCTGCAGTCTGGCACACTCGATGACAAGGTGCGCCAGAGTCTCCCTCGGTACAGAACAGGCACTGGTTGGAGACCGGTTCAGGCCACTGCTGCCAGCTAGGTGAGTGGGACTGCACTGCAACAGCCCCATGGCAGGAGACAGCGCCCAGAGCCCCTTTACCTTTGCACCAGCTTCTTGTAGTCCTCCACCTTTGCCAGCAGCTAGAATCAAAACAGCAGTCAGTGGGAACCTGCCCCACGCCCAGCTCAAACCGCCAGCCCAGTCCCTGCACTGCCCTGGGAGAAGTGGAGCTGGTGATGAACCATGCAGGTGTCCCAGTTTGGCAGTGGTCACTGCCAGGGGCACGAGTGGTAGGCTGGGGCAAGGGCAGGATGCCCCTGAGCAGGCTGGAGCATGGCCAGGATGCAGGGGCCCCTGCACAAGCAAAGGCAATGGTTTGATACCTGCTGTAGCTCTACGTGGAAAACACCTGTGGGCCTCAAGCTCTGGGCAGCAGCTGGCCCAGAACTGGCCTGATAAGAGCAGGCCCCAGCCCCTCCACTTGCAGGGGGTCCAGGAAGATGCCCTAGCAGACCCTCCCCCACCCCAGGGATACCAGGCGAGCCTCTTGCGGGGAGTGCCTCTGCTCCTCTGCCCCTGGCTGCTGTGCAACAGCTGTAGTACCCAAGCTGTGCATGCTCACAGGGATTTGGGCTTCCCTCTGCTCTTCTTCCTGCCCCTGCCCACCTCCTCCTCCTTCAGGATCTGTTGGAGCATAGAGACAGGCCTGCTCCTGGCCCTCTTCCCAGGTGCCATTGCCAGGACAGGTGCAGGCTCCATGTTCCTGCTCTGTCTGTTATTGTTTGCATCCTGTCACCATGGCAGCTACAACCTGGTAACAAAGACAAAGGCCCTGATTGGACTGTCCTAGTTGCCTTGGAGGCAGTGGGAGGCGAGGTCAGAGGTTAGCCCCCACATGGCTGAGTATGCAAGGGCATCCATAACAGCACCATCCCCAGCACCCTGGCCTGCCCACTCCGCCCCATCACTTCACCCGTGCTGGAAGCAGCTCCATGTCCCCTGGCTCAGCCTGGACCTCCAAGCATGGAGGGGGGTGCCCACCCCACACTTTGCAGGCAGTCAGCCATGGGGACACTTCCTATAAGGGTAGGATCTGAATTGGGGTCCAGGCTACAGGAGCCTGCAACACAGGAGTACGTGTGGAGGGATGATGTTGGAGGTCAGGCCCTGCCGCACCAGTTTATTGTTTATACCCTCACCTGCTTTGGTCCACGTTAGTGAAGGCAGTGAGCTGTCCGTGACAGCTGTGGAAGCAGCAGGCTGGGCCTCTTTGACCTGGCTGGCACAGCTGACCAATACCCCAAGCTTCCAGTACAAGGAACAACTCAGGGTGAGGGCTGGGCACAAAAGGGCCCTGGCAATCCCCAGCTCTTCCTACTTCCCAGGTGAAACAAGGGCAAGAAGGGACATTGGGAAAGGCCCTTGTGGCCCCCTTTGTGCTCTCTGCCCACATGCTCCCACCCAGCCGATGAATTCATCACCCCACAGCTCTCACCATCCAGAACACAGCATGGCAGGCAGGACTCCTGGGGAAGGCTCCACACAGACACTAGCTCTGGAGGACCATTGGTTTATTAAACAGCGATTTAAAAAGAGGGGGAGCACACACACATGGCAGCTGGAGGCACCATGTCCTGCTCACACCAGGGTGAGGAGGGGCCACTGGCCCAGCCCAGGGGACTGGCAGATAACAAACGCTGTACTGAGTCCCTGCCAAGAGAGGGTTTCAAACTTCCAGATGTTGCAGCTCCCTGCTGTTGCAGGCCATCCCGCCCCCTAAGACCTGCAGGAGAGGCTCCTGTGGCAATGTCACACAGTGCTGCACAAGCAAGAAGGGCAGCCCTCAGCTGGGCAGGCTGTGCTGGAAACAGGTTTCCACTCTGCTGTAAAGAACAGTCTGGGGTGGAAGAGAGAACAGGCAGCAGCCAGGCCCTGGCCCTGCCAAGGGAACAGGCCACCCCCAGCTCCACAGGAGACATGGAACTATTTACAATGATTTACTTGGGTTCTCCAAAGACTTGGTTCCTGGTGTACCAAGGAATACGTAAGCACAATCAGCTGATGGGCAAGGGGATTGGCCACAGGCCCCTGTTGCAGTAGAGAACCAGGAGGAGAAGCATTTCCCCTTTGGAAAGAACAGGTCCAGAGAGCCCCATGCCTGCACAGACATGACAGATGGAGGATCAGCCCTGCCAGCCATCTCTGGGAGCGAGGGCACAGGCAGAGGCAAGCACTGACCCAGATCATCTCATAAATAAGCTAAAGCTAATCAAGTGGTCTATGCACAAGGCTAGCACCTGCAAAGCCACTAGCTGAGAAAAGGAACAAGTCTGGAATCTCTTCGGAGCCCATGCAGGGGGCTGGTCACCTTCCAGCTCCGCAGCCAGCCTGCTGCTTTGGAAGAAGCTTCCTGGCCAGGGGACAGGCTTCCCCCACCCAGACAAAGCTTCCATGGAGCCACCCGTGACATCCAACACCACGTGGCAGGGAGTGATCCCAGAGCCCTGCAGCCTCCCTGCTGCTAGGACACCACAGTACCCTGCCTGGAGAGGAGCTCTCTTCATGGCAGGTCCCGGGAGCTCACAGGGTGCTCTCCAGCGTGTTGTAGTTGTCCTTGAAGCTCTTCAGCTCCAGGAAGTGTTTGGCACGTTTGCTCTTCTGGCTGGAAGGCAGGTAGGTGACCTGGATGGTCGCAGGGTTGGAGACCTCGGGTGAGAGCGTGAGGTCCTTGGCTGCCGACTGGTGCTGCCGCTGGCTGCTGCCTCCTCGTGCCTTGATGCTGTGGAAGAAGAGAGACATGACTGAATCCAGGAATGTGGCAGCCCTCCCTGGGGCAGGTGCGTGCTCATCTGGCCCCCACACAGGGACAGCTTGGGGCTCTGCTGTTTCCCCACATGCAGCCTAATGTCTGTCTTTGTACTGGACAGACAGGTTTGGTGTCTGGTACCACTGATGTTGAGAGCCAAGCACTTTCCTCTCAGGACCCTGGAGCCCCTGGCACTGGCCTGGCTGTGGGAGAAGCCTTGCAGGCCACTGCTACCTGAGTAGCATTACTGGCTCTAACACTTAGATCATAGGAAGCATGAGGGGACATAACGTAAGCTTAAGTAATAGGCACAGGCTCTGTGCATCCCCTCTCCTGTTGTGCAGAGCAAGGCTCAGAGAGTGTCATGTCCCCCCCCCCTCCGCCTGTTGTCTACCAGGGACCAGAGAGACTCACACATTTGCTAGCTCAGTCAGGGCTTCCTGGTACTTCAGATACTCAGTCTTCCCAAAGACCTGGGCACAAACAGAAGAGCTCCTCAGAGATCCTGTCCACTGGCTGGGTTCTGGCCAGGGCAGGAGTGGAACAAAGAGCAGGCGTGAGCAATGCTGCCAGGGCAGCAGCTGGCTCCACTGAGATCCACCCCGGGCCTGCGCTTACCCCCGTGCCGTAGCGGGCGCTGTCATACCCGTCCAGCAGGGTGTCCAGCAAGGTCTTGCGGATGCCTTTGAAGGGAGTGCTGGAGTTCCTCAGCTCCAGCAAGTAGGCCCGGAAGCTCTTCCCTATTAAGGCCTTGGGGTATCTGCCATCTGCATAAAACGGGATGTCTGGAAAACCAACAGGCATGATGACAGGCAGGGCACTGGGCAGCACACCCAAGTGCTCCTGCAACCTCTGAAGCAGCTCCTGCTGCCTGCCCTGGAGAGTAACTGCAGATCACATGCTGCCACCTTGATGGGGTATTCCCAGCTCCTCTGCAGTACATGTGAGCCCAGCTCACAGAGCAGCAGAAGCACAGGCAGATCCCTAGTCAGAGCGCAGAGCTCAGCCTGGCTCCAGCAGGACTCTTGGGGCAGAGGCTGACCTGAGGGTCAACTTAGCCACGATAAACCCCCCGTGAGCTCCCTGATCTGCCTCTGCTGGAGTCCTGTACAGCACAGACAATGAGTCAGGTTTGGGAAGGCCTGCACCTCGCTCAAGAGGAGCTTCAGCTACAGCAGGCAGAAACAGCAGGTAATCTGAAAGTTTTCCTTAAGCATCAGAGACCAGGTGTCTCAGCCTGGACCTGGCCAATCTGCGAAAAACACTTTCAGGAAGGTTCCCGATGCCTTTCTTGCAACTCTGTTACACTGCATATACACCGAGAGTGACCACACTCAGAGCAAAAGATTCCCCACCAATTCTGCCACCTTGTCTCCTGCCTTTTGCTCAACCTCAGTAAAGGAACTAATCCATCTGCTCAAGACAGTTTCACTGCATGTCTGGTCAGTCCCACTGCCAGCTAGTCCTGTGCTAGTGTAGACGGTCCTAAGCCTTATGCAGCAGCACAGACCCCTACCCCATCTGGCTGGGATCCCCTCCCACATAGGCAAGAAGAGAGGGGGGGGGGGATCAGCTGCAAACCATAGATTGAGAACATTCTGGCCACTCCTGGACTCCCCACCCAGCAGTGCTCTCTCTTACCTGAAGTTCTGATTGCATCCAGTGCCTTCATGCGGTACAAGTAGTTATAGCAACCTGGGAAAGAGAAAACACAAACTGATGGCTCCACATGTTTTGGAGACAAACGGGACATGCTCACAACTGTGTGTGGGCACAACAGCACTGCAACAGCTGCCAATTGCCCTGCTGGAGCCTCTCCTGGTGCAGTGAGGACAGCCCCCAACTACAAGGCTAATCTGTCCAGGCAGCACGACTGGTAACTGACTCTCCATCTCCTCCGTGTGGCGGCTGATGCACAGGCTCAGAGTGTCAGATTAGGACTGGCCCAGAGCCATGTTCTCCTTGGGTCACATGCCCTGCAAGCCTCCCTCAGACTAGGAGCCAGAGTCAACACAGAGAAGGCAGGCTGCAATCTGCTCCTTTGTGGGAGACTGGGAGGAACCCGGGGGCTACCCTGGTTAGTCTTTGCAATGGTATTGCTTGCCCCTAGGTGTAGGATCAAGGGCCTAGGGGAAAGCAGGCATGTTGTAGGGGAGGACCCGGACCCTCCTCCGCCCCTCCATTCCTCCAGGAAGAAGGGAGGGTGTAGTACACTGGCTGCCAGAGGTCTCTAGCTGCAGGAGCCTGGCATCATCTTCGGCCAGCAGCTGTGGCTCATACTTAATGTCCTGTACTCTGGACAGTCGAACGTCGATCTCCTCTTTCAGGTCCTGTCCAGAAAAGAACACAAAGCACCCTGCATTTAGAGCCCGCCCTCCTTCCCAAAGGGCCTCCCGGCATGAGCAAACCAGTATGCCAGAATCATTTCACCCAGCACTGCCACAAAGCATTGGGGGAGGCTGGGGTTTTCTAGCAATTATAAAGAAGCAGAAAATAAAGTCCCCCTATGCAAAGAGAAGTCGGAGGAAAGCTGTCAGTTTATTTAGCCCTCAGACCCAACAAAAAGTGTCATGGATTTTCATGCTACCCAGGGGTGTGGTGGCTGGTTTAAGGTTCATCTAAAGACACGCTCCACTGGGAGAGAGGATTCCCATGCACCCAGCTGGAGCCCTGGGCATCTCTGTAGCTAACCAGAGAGCAGAGATGCTCCTCAAGCCATCCAAACCATTCTCTGCAGCCTCTGTGACCCCTGGGGGCCCAGGGGCTGCCCCTGCCCATCCCCATTCAGCCTGCGAGATGCAGCAGAGACAAACACCCACATCTCATTGCACCAACCATCTTTCACCTCCCCCCCATGAGACCCTGTGAAGGGAAGAGACACCCCTCCTCTCCCTTGCCGCACCCACCTTGGGGGCATGCTGCCCAACTGGCACGTGGGGGCCACGGCGGGACTTCATGGCAAAGCGCATGATCTGCCTCTTCACAAAGATGAACAGCAGCACAAACACCTGGGCCAGGCAGGAGACAGACTGTAAGCCTGGCAGGGCTGGGACCCTTGCACAGGAGCCCCCCTTCCCCTTTAAAGGAGGAAACCCTCCATGCACAAACAGGGGGGGCAGAGACAGAAGACCCCCCACGTGGCAGACGACCCCCCAGGGCGAAGCCCCA